TGCCCCCCCCCCCAAAATAAAAACCCGAACACATTTCCTATTAATTATTAGCAGTTCGCGCAACAGATTATGAAGACAAATGTTATCGCCGGAGTCCCTTTAAATACCCGAAACCGTGAAGTTGCTTTAAGTAGATACGTACTTTGGAATTGTGCCGCCTCAGTGTTGCTTGACTTTTGCTTTCTTGGTTTCGTTTGCAGTAGATTAAATAAGCGGCAAATTAAAGGTATCCCGTACGCTCGAGTTTTCTCCTGTTGGATGTAATTTGAGAAAATAAAATATTGTGTTATCATCCCTCCAGCAGTTTGCAGACAGTGGCTGGTAGAACAGAGTGTTACAATGATATTATTAATTCCCCCCGGGCCCGGTGCTAGTGAGCGCCAGAGATTCTCTGCTTAGTAATTTGTCGATAAATGCTGTTATGCAGACAGCGGCTCTGATTCATATCACCTCCGAAGTTCAGGGGAAAACTTTCCACTTTACTTCTTCTTTTCTTCTACATAGGGACTCATTGTTTCACAACTTGGCCATTGGAATTTAAAGAAGAGCATCCAAAAATGTAATGCGGTAATGGAGTTATTTAACAAAGGGAACACTCTGAATTATTCAACTGACGAGCTACATGCAGCAGGATAGTGGATACAGTATACACCCACTATATAAATACACTGAGTGGCCAGATTATTATGACCACCCCATCAGTACTTGGTTGGGCCGCCTCGTGACTCCACGAGATGATGAAAGGTGATGCGAGGAATCTGACACGGCACTGTTGTCCTTCTGTTGTCTTGTACCAGTCTTGCCCCTCCCCCGTTCTGCCCTAACATTGACTAGTCGCTGACGGCCACAATTCGCACGTTCAGACCCAGATTTTCGGCTGACAGTCCGGTCTTTAAACACTTTAACAACAGCTGCTCTTGAACATTTACCGAATTCTGCTGTTTTGCTGATACTCGCTCCATGCCTCCGAGCGCCAACAATCATCCCGCGTTCAAAGGCTGTTAAATGGCGTTGTTTCCCCGTATCTTCAGAAACATCACTTCTACTGTCGTGGTAAACAACCCGCTTCCCTATTTATAATGGTCTGGCCCTCTAGCAACTTTAGCGCCAAATTATAGCTCATTTGCCTACAAACGTCACATGGTCATAATAATCTGGCCACTCACTGTATAGTGTATATATATTGTGATGTTCGGGGATATTAGCACATGTGGTGAATGCAGTCTACTCGCAATATCTTCGGTTTAAGGGCTCGGTAGCCCACTTTTATTCAAAATAAAGTTCATACATCCCTCTCGGATACCCTTGCAGGGGTTGTTCAGCATAACATTTCTCCAAGGCTTCCAAACAACACAAGAATAGCCTCCTGGCTTCCACTTTAAACATTGGCACTTCTGACCCACTGGTCCTACTTGAAGTGCTGTCCCACACTTGTACTGGTGGCCCCTCAGGCTCACGGCTCTCCTAGCCTCACCAGTTCTCTCCCTGGCTGACTTAAGGTCCCCACACACCTTACGATAATCGTACGATAATCGTACGATAATCGTGGGAAACCACGCGATCGTACGATTATCGTAAGGTGTGTGGAAGCCGTGCGACCTCTACTACTGTAAGGTCGCACGACTTTAAACTTACGGACATGTTCGAAAACCCGCCGAGCATCGTACGATGTTCGGCGGGTTTGTGGCATGTCCGTACGATAACAGCCGTACAGGCCGGTGTGCGCAAGCGCACACTGCCCGTTCGGCTTTGCGGTCATTGGAAGCCCGCCCCTCAGGGGGCGTGGCTTGCGATCATCGCAAGTACGATCTGCCTATGCAAGATAGGCAGATCGTACGTTTTTTTAAGTACCTTACAACCATCGCAAGACAAAAGTCTTGCGATGGTTGTAAGGTGTGTGCCTCCAGCACACTCACCACCTGACTCCACTTTAGGTTCTGGGGAAGTCCTCCTGACTCCTGAACACGGCCTGTTCCTCTTTCCCAGCAGGAGCTAATTCCCCTAGCCAGCACCCTTTCCTTAAGGGTTGTGCAATCATTGGGTGCTGGCCACTGCTAAAGCCTGGATCTAGGCCGGAGGATCTCATCTTCTCTCCTGAATCACCATGAAACTTCCCAGTTCCAGGATCCCAAAAGTAATCCCCACAAACCCTTGCTTCCTGACACATCTCAGCCCATCTGGCTGGGAGTCCCAGGTGATCATAACACCCAATTCTACAGTGGGATTGCCACACAATACCACTATATATATATATATATATATATATATATATTATATGTA